CATTCCAGTTTTAGTATATGTGCTGCTAAAGCAAGCCTTTTTATTATTCTTAACTCCTTAGTTATATGGCAATGTATAGAACAAGCATTTTTAGGTTGCATGCGGTGGCTCACGCCTGTAATCCCAACATTTTGGGAGGCCGAGGTGGGTGGACCACCTGAGGTCAGGAGTTTGAGACCAGCTTCGCCAACATGGTGAAAACCTGTCTCTAATAAAAATACAAAAATTAGATTGGCATGGTGGCAGGCACTTGTAATCCCAGCTGCTTGGGAGGCTGTGGCAGGAGAACTGCTTGAACCCGAGAGGCAGAGGTTGCAGTGAGCCGAGATCATGCCATTGCACTCCAACCTGGGTGACAAGAGCAAATCTCTGTTTCAAAACAAACAAACAAACCTCTAAAGCTAGGTAAGGCAATGAGGATGAGCAACAGAGGAAGGATTAAAGTGTGTTAGGCAAATGAAAGCTACAGGATTTGGTTCTGGATAGGAGTTAAGGATGATACCCATTATAATCAATATTGGCCAATGAGTTAGCCAGTTAATATAGCCAACTGGGGTAGGCCACCTAGCACATGGATATGAAGAAGTAGTTAGCGATTACCAGAACTGATTGAATTCACCTGACAAGAGGCTTGTCAGAGAGTCATCATTATCCATGTGTAGGTCCAAGAAACAGTCTCAAGGCACTCAAGTTCCTATCCTTTTTGAGGCTAAGATGTGAAAACTGATTGTAAAGGTGACACTTTTTAAGGAAAAACTAGCAGAATATGTCCCACATTTCATACATATCTCTATTGCCTTCAAAGGATATTAAAACTCAATACTGGGTAAGAGAGTTTGGTTTCCTGTGTAGGTGCACACCTCTGCACGTGGCTGTGCATTTTCTGTGGAAGCTACGCAATTAGTCTTAGAATCTCTTTGATTGTCAAGGGATGTACTTTTTTTTGCTGATCTGAAAATATGTTTCCTTCTACAGAAGTATGTTCCACTTTTTTGAAGTTTTAAGTTAATTTTAATATATTTTCCTTTTATTAATTAATTCATGAAATAGTTATTTACTATTTGCCATGTTCCAGCCTCTGTGCTAGGTACTAGTAGGATGTTGATGAATAAAATGAACACAATCCTTTTCCTTAGGGAATTTATACATATAAACATTTAACTCTACAAAGATTAAACATGTAATTATATAAAGCTTTATAATTAAACATATAATTATATGAAGGTTTGTAATTATATAGCCAGGCATGGTGACTTACACCTGTAGTCCTACCTACTTGGGAGGCTGAGGTGGGAGGATCACCTGAGCCCATGAGGTCAAGGCTGCAGTATGTTATGCTCATGCCTGTGAGTAACCACTGCTCTCCAGCTTGGGCAACATGGTGAGATCCCATCTTTTAAAAATAAATAAATAACTATTTTAAATTTTATAATTGTCATTGATAAAACCTATAGAGAAAAAAATATATAATACGTTGGGGGTTTATCCTGATCTGGGGAGTGAGATAGAGAAGATTTCCTGGGGAACTGACATTTAAGTTGGGACTTGATCTATAGAGGGAGTTGGAGGGAACCAAATAAATATGAATCAGGGGATAAGGGGCTATAAAGTACATCCAAAGGAATTTTAAAGGAAGCGATGGTACAAGTTTTCACTTTGGAGAGCCATAGGAAGATTTGTGCAAGAAGAGATGGAAACTAAAGCAACAACAGTAGTATATTTATGGCTTTGTAATCAAAGTTGATGATATTGGATTTCACTGTAAGAGAAATGATAAGGATTTGAAGAATTTTAAGCTGGAAAGTGAAGTGGGTAGATCTGTGTTTTCAGCAACCTTTCAGGCTGACTGTTCTGTGGAGAATGGATAACAGGGAAGCAAACTGGAAACAGGGTTACCTCTTAGGGGATGATGATGCCTTGAATTCAAAAGTGGAAATGGGTGTGGAGATAAGTGAATGGATTTAAGAAATATTTGAGAAGTAGAATTGATAGAACTTGGTGATTAGTTGGAGAGCCCTTACAAACCTAGGGTGCAATGTGGTCTGGTTTTAGCACAGTATTACATCAAAATAAATATTGTTTAAGCAGAAATATATAATTGAAAGCATTTCAGAGATTTAGGCTCTTGAGGAAACAGCAAATGCCTTGTTGGTATTATTATTTTTCTTTTTGATTTTTTGAGACAGGGTCTCATTCTCTTACCCAGGTTGGAGTGTAATGGCATGATCGTGGCTCACTGCGGCCTCAACCTCCCAGGCTCTGGTGATTCTCCCACCTCAGTCTCCTGAGTAGCTGGGACTACAGGTGCGTGCCACTATGCCTGGATAATTTTTGTTTGTTTTCTGTTTTTTTAGAGATGGGGTTTCGCCATGTTGGCCAGTCTGGTCTCGAACTGCTGGGCTCAAGCAATGCACCTGCCTCAGCCTCTCAAACTGCTGGGATTACAGGCTTGAGCCACCATGCCCTGCTGGTGGTATTATTTTTAATGCACAGCAAAACTTTTTAAAGAATCTTCTTTGGCCATCTCTCTCATTCTCAATGCCTTTCATATACTTAGGAAGAAGCTAAAATACAAAACTCTCCCCTTCTTTCCTATGTGTGTTCTCAAACATTCCCTTGTATCCATCTGAGGCTCCTCATTCCTCAGCATTCTGCTCCTCATTCTACCTCAGCTCTTCATGATCAGGGTTTATCTAACCTTTCTGGCTTCTTAAAGCCTTCTCTCTTTGCTCAGTGTTCAGACTTTGCTCAAGAGAGAAGAGCTCCAAAACCAGTTCAGCAAGCAACAGGTGCATGGAGAGAGACTGCAGATATCTGACTGTTTTTGTCGTTGTTACTCTGCCACTGTTAAATGTGTTCTATGAAGAAAAGAAGTGGATATGTTCTAGCTTTGAGCAAATGAGTAGATGAGGGTCCATTTGTGGAGACAGGAAACATAGGAGAAGTGTTTTTGAGGAAAACTTGAGATCACGTGAACGTTTCGAGTCTAGGCTGCCTTTTAGATGGTCTAGAGACGCTGTCCGGAGAATTGTGTGCCTGGAACCTCCTTGTTCTGGCGTGTGAGGCACTTGTTAAATTCTCAGGAATTGTAAACATGGGCATTGCTAAAAAGTGACTGTATAAATATATGATTAAATAAAAAATAATTGTTAAATATACAATTAAATAAAAAATAATTGTATAAATATACAATTAAATAAATTACATTGAAAACAAAGATAATAAATACTCAAAACTCATCTCTATCTACATTTTACTACTATCTGTGCTCTTAAAATTACTTAAGTCTGCTGTGCCTGCATGGTGGAAATAGCATAAAGTGACTTGCTACTGCACCTTCCTTGGCATCACTGATGTTAGATTGGTATCTGGAAATTGGCCATATTTGGAGTAAACTACAGAGATTGGCAAATACTATGAATCAAGGCCTTCTCTTCCCTCCTAAAAGCCAGCAGTTAAACATTTATCACCACATCATATCCAAGAGACATCTGGATAAATGAATCTAAGCTCAGGAGACAAATTCGGGCTGGAGATACCATGGTGCGAGGCATAGACTTGATGCGGGGAGCTTCATGGGCTGGCGACGGGGGGTCCCATATCAAGAAGGACCCCATGATTGGTTTAATGCTCTGCTGTTGCTATCATCAAATTCTTAATTTTTGAATAAGAGGCCACACATTTTCATTTTACACTGGGTTAATATAGATGATAGGGAATTTTAGGCTGTTTGGGGAGGGGGTTACTTAATTGCCTTCCAGTCTGCATAACAAGTATTTTATCTTACTCACCTATGTGGTAGCACATATTCACAGATATTTTCCCCATCCATCCCTCATCCTGTGTATTCTCCACAACCAGCTCACAAAATTTCCCTTGTCTATTTCCTCCCTGTATTGTTCTCTTTGGCCTTCTTTTGAAACTTGTTAACTTTTTTTTTTTTTTAACTTTTATTTTAGGTTCGGGGTACATGTGCAGGTTTGTTATATAGGCAACCTGTGTCACGGGGGTTTATTGTACAGATTATTTCATCGCCCAGGTACTAAGCCTAGTACTCAATAATTATTTTTTCTGCTCCTCTCCCTCCTTCCATGCTCCACCCTCAACTAGGCCCCAGTGTCTGTTGTTCCCTTCTTTGTGTCCATGAGTTTTCCTCATTTAGCTCCTACTTATATGAGAACATGCAGGTATTTTTGGTTTTTTGTTCCTGCGTTTGAAAACTGTTAACCTTCAAAGCATTAATGTATTACATGGCTTTAATGTAAGTGTTTCTTCAGAACAGAAATCTCGAAGGGAAAAAAATGTTTCTCTCCAGATTGCAATGTCCCACACATTCATCTTTCACAGTGGTACGACAGTGGTTACGGAGCTTGTGGAATAAGACAGAACTGGGTTTGAACTCTCTCTCTCTCTCTCTTTCGTTTTCTAATCCTTAGAACCTGCGAATGAGTTTGAACTCCTGTGTGTGACCCAAGGTAAATTTCTTTGATTTCTCTACCCTTCCATTTCCTCATCTGAGGAAAGAATAATGTTTACCTCTGAAGGTTATTGTGAATATTAAATTAGATAATCTACATAAAGTGCCTTACATAATACCTGGTCCATGGTTATAGTGTTCAATTAATGGCAGTTATTCTTTTTATTCATACATGATGAGTTAGGAACATCCAGTAATTTGGACATGACACATGGTAGAAAAGTCTTAGGAGGAATGAAGGACTCTGGCAGAGATGAGCTGCAAGATTTCGACTCTTTAAACACTTTCCTGGTGCCACAATATGTATGTCCCAGACTGGATTGGACAAAGCGACTCTTTACTGGGGCTCTTACTATTCTCACAACTCCTCTCCCTTGTTATTCCTCAGACAGAGCTAACAATCTACACAAATAGCACAGATGTGGGCTCTTGGACAGCCAGTCAGACATTTAGCCTTCTTGCGGCGTGAAAAATCCTTTCCCTGGCATAAAGCTTGGCACAGCGTAGGCACTCAAAATTTTTATTTTTATTTTTTTGGCATATGAAAATTTATTACTACAGTGTGTTCACCATTAAAATTTATGATCTTGGTCTTTCCTTCTTGCCTTTGTATAGGGCCAGAAGAGACACATTGGCTACTTTGACAATCTTAAAGCGGACTCCAGGAATATCACCAACAGCATGACCTTTGCGACCAAATCCAGCAACCAGAACTTCATCGTTTTCCTCAATAAAATTCAAGCAAACGTCGTTGGGTACAAAGGCTGTGATTTTCTTGCCATTCTTGATCAGCTGGACCCTGACACACTTCCTAATGGCAGAATTTGGCTGTTTGGCTTCAACTCCTACTTTTTCCAGGACGATTCCTTTTGCATGAGAAGCACCTCCAAAAGGGCTGGCCTTCAGGGCTGTGCCCAAATGGAGGCGGCACTCAAAATTTTGTAGGTTTTCCTTTTCACCGCCGTGGCCCCAACTAGTACAGGGCCTGGCACACAGCAGGCGTCCATTTATTGAACGAGCGCATGATAATGTCACCTGTTTCTCCCTCTTCCTCCAAATCCCTGTTCTTCCGCCTCTGCCCGAGGCAGCCAGCCTATCCCAGGGAGCCAGGCTCAAGCCAGGCTTGGTTCACCGACTCGTTCCCCGCGCTAGGCTGCGGTTGCTATGGAAACAGCGGGAAATAACAACTCCGTTCCCCCTGGGGTGAGGGAGGCCCGCTGAGGTGACAGCAGCTGGAGGAACAGCGTGAGCGACGCGAGGCCGCGGCAGAGTTCACCACTGTGCCACAGCCCCGCCCCCGCGCGGCCGGCGCCCGAACTCCCCTCCCCTCTCTAGCACGCGAGTGTCGGTAGGTACTACCGCGGAGGCACCTCCCGGGCCCGCCTCCCCAACCAGGGCCCCGCTTGCGCGCTGCCTGCTGTGTTCACGTGATGCGCACCCGCGCTTCGCCGCCAGGCGGCGCTGATCATCGGGGAGGGGGTTAGGGGTCCTAGACGCGCGAGTGTTCCCTCTGTTTCTCATTCATTCATTCACTTACATTTATTTTTCCCGTCCTTCCTTCCCTCCGTCCTTCCGGGATGAGCTATTGCTGTGTTGCTCAGGTTGGTCTCAAACTCCCGGGCTCAAGTGCGTCTCCTGCCTCAGTTTCCCAAAATGTTGGGATTACAGGCATGAGTCACCGTACCCGGACACACACACTCTCTCTCTCTCTCCTTTTTCAGACAGGGTCTTGCTGTGTCGCCCAGGCTGGAGTGCAGTGGCAAAATCATAGGTTACTGCAGCCTTGACCTCCTGGGCTCAAGTGATCCTCCCGCCTCAGCCTCCGAAATAGCTGGGTCCACAGGCCCACACCATGCCCACCTACTTTTTTTTTTTTTTTTTAATTATAGAGACTGGGTCAGGCTGGTCTCAAACTCCTTGCCTCAAGCGATCACAGGCGCGTTATAGAGACGGGGGTTTCCCTGTGTTTCCCAGGCTGGTCTAGAACTCCTGGTCTTAGGCAATCCTCCCGCCTCAGCCCCTCAAAGTACTGGAATTTGCAGGTGTAAGCCACCGCGCCTGGCTTTGCACATTTATCTTCCAGCAAAGAAAAACCTGGGCAACTACAGCCAGGAACTTAATTGCTTTAATTTGGGAGAAAGCAGGAGCTTGAGGGGTAAAGGTGCAAGAAGAGAGAAAAGAAAAATTAGGCTGTTTGGCAAGGGTAGCACAGATACGATGTAAGAAATTGGGTTTCACCATATTAGTGTGAATGTGTGTGTGTGTGTGTGTGTGTGTGTCCTCCTCTCTCCTGCCCTCACTCGGCGTGCCTGCTCGAAGCCCCCGCGCGGTTCCTGCTCCTGCTCCGAAGAGGTCCACCTTCATTTTGCCGGTAGCTGGTGAACCAGGTGTGGTGCGCGCACTGCGGGCCCTGATTGGTTGTGCACGCCACGGTGAAAAACTTGAACGTCTACTCCGAGTCCTGCAGCTCCTAGTGTCTCCGCGGGGTGGACGCCAGGCGCACGGCCGTTACTTCTCTTTACCTGTGGATTCGTCAGTTTCTCGTTCGTTTCAGGAGGCGATCCCGCGCCCTGGGTGCTGTGAGGCCGCTGGGGAAGCGGAGGTGCCTCCCGGCGCGGAGCAGCCAGCTGAGGCGGCGGCCAGCGGGGAAGATGAGCGGCAGCAGCACCAGGTCCAGCCACCTGTCTCAGCCCGTCGTGAAGAGCGTGCTTGTGTACCGCAACGGGGACCCCTTCTTCGCAGGGCGCCGCGTCGTCATCCATGAGAAGAAGGTGTCCAGCTTCGACGTCTTCCTGAAGGAGGTGACCGGCGGCGTTCAGGCACCCTTTGGGGCCGTCAGGAACATCTACACGCCGCGGACTGGCCACCGCATCCGGAAGCTAGACCAGATCCAGAGCGGGGGCAACTACGTGGCTGGAGGCCAGGAAGCCTTCAAGAAACTCAAGTGAGTCGGTCTTCCCCACCGCCCACCCATTTCAGGTGCCCTATCGTGCGGGCTTGATACGAGGAAATGCAGATCCTTACCCCACCACACCTCAGTGGTTGAGGGGCTGTGACTTCTCGGTGTGACTGATGCCACTCAAAACTCTTGTTGCAGTTGGGGGGCAGAGATTGACAGTGTGACTGGAGAAGGAATTTCACTTGGGTAACAGTAGGAGTAAACTTAAAATTTGTGTATAAACAACAGGAATCTTAAAAAAAATTATCCTTGCAAAGGTTGGTGACCAAACTGATACTTTTGCGTTTTCTGTTCAGTTTTTTCTTTCCTTTTCCTTATTTGTTTTCTTGGAACTCCATCCTTTTAATTTAAATAAACATTCTTAAAAATCACTTCCAAGTGTTGGACACTATATTGTCACCAGAGGAGAAAATTGCTCTGCATTTCCCATACTATTTAAATTATTTCAACCTTTCATTCCAGGTAGAATTGACACCACTTACTTTTGTGACCCTGCTCCACCCCCTGCATGTTTGTGCTGTTAGCGTAATGCAGGATGAGTTTACTGACTGACTGTATTTGTCCACTGTCTGTCTCCAGCAACAGTCCTTATTCCCAGGGGTCCTTATTCCCAGCTCTTGAGTTCACTCATAGTAAGTGTTCAGTGAATTAAGAAACCCTCAATTCAGGGAACAAAGATGAGCAAGGCATAATTCCTTGTCTTTAGGAGCTTTCAATCTAAGTGGACTACCTGCATACTAACAATTGTAATGCAAGGTACAAAGAGTTACGTGCAGTTAGAAAAATAAGGTTATGTGTGAATTGCGAGTTGAGAGTTGGTTGGGGTGGGCATTATAGGACAGGTAGAATTTTACATTCCATTTTTTTTTTTTTTACAGCTTTATTGAGATAGAGTTATCACAGCATAAAATCCAACCATTTCATTGGCTTTCAGCGTATTCAGAGTTGTGCAACCATCACCACCAACTAATTGTAGTTTATTTCCAGCCCTCCCGCCAAAACGTTTGTACCTCCCAGGTGCCTCTTTCCCCTGTCTTCTGGTAGCCACTAATCTATTTTCCGAATCTATGGATTTGTCTATTCTGGACATATCATATAAATGGAATCATATGATATACGGTCTTTATGTCTGGCTTATTTCACTTAACTGTAATATTTTCAAGGTTCATCCATGTTGTAGCATGCATCAGTACTTCATTCTTTTTATTGTTGAATCATGATTTGGGTATACTACCTTTTACATCCATGCTTATCTATTAATCACTTGATGTATATTTGGGCTGTTTTACATTTTAGCTATTATGAATAATGCATCTATGAATATTTGTGTACAAGTTATCATTTCTCTTTGGTGTATACCTAAGAGTGAAATTGCTGGATCATATGGTAACTCTGTATTCCATAGTTTAATAGAACATTTTAATTGAAATTCATCTTGGGCCCCAGGATAGCAAAAAGCCTTGACCATAAATCTAAGCTTATGAATTCATAAGCATTATTGGATTCTTAATAATTAAAATTCAAATAAAGTTTTTTAACTACATAGAAATATTTTTCAAAGTATCACTAAAGTTCTTGAATGTAATCCTTCCTCACCTATATTTGTTTAAATTGAGTTCTAGGTATTCTATTACACTTTTTGTTATGTCAGACATTCTTTTCATGGAAAGTGAGGGATATATTTGGATTTATCCCCCGCCCCCCCGCCAAAGCTTCTTAAGCATACTTTGTTAAACTTCATAAAAAAGGGCTAAATGAAACTGCATGCTTAAAATAAACTTAAAATCAGGAGACTGAAGACTTACTTGCTGATCAACTCTGTGTCCTTGGACAAGTCACTTGACTCAGCTAGTCAGTTTTTTAATACAGAAAAGGTATATAACCATTTGTACCACACAGGGCTGTGATAAAAGTAAATGCTATAAATGAGAGTGTGTTTTGTAAACACCAAGTGTTACATAAATTAAGACACCTCTATGACCAGTTTCTTTTGTTACATACTTTATTTTTTATTAAATATTTCCATGTAAAGCAATTTCATGGAAATGAAAATCTGGTTCAGAATCTGTGAACGGTTGAAAATTGTAGACTCACTTTTATAATTCATGTTCTTTTGTTTATTTGGTTCTACCAACTCACAAGATTAAAAAAAAAAAAGATACAGTTCCACACCAAATAGAAAGTGTACTCAAATCTCTCTAAGAGATTTGCATGTTATTTTTGCTTTTCGTTTATACATAAAAAACTGAATTTGTTTTAACAGTGTCCATGGTTAGGTTTCCATGCTGACAGATGACTCTTTTATTTGTGTTAAAGAAGTAGTATCTATGATTATAATGATAGAAGCCAAGAATACTTGAATGTTGAATGCATTTGAAACTTAGCACTTGTAAGTTTATGTAATGAATGGAGAAACTGTCAGAACAAAAGAAAGCCCAAATGATGTTAAAGACGATTCGTGGGCTTTCATTTAGACCCCAAATGAAGTTGGGAAAGACAGCAACATCTTTTTCAAATGGAACTGATCAAATCTCTGCTTGAATTGCTTTCACTTAGATTTTTCTAATATTTTTGAAACGATAACTAAACGTCAGGTAGCTATTAAACCCTTATTTATTTCAAATGTGAGACCACACATTCAAAACCTTTATTTTACAGCACAGAATTCTAGAGATTATTTTCCCCAAAACTTTCCCAGTGCATTGTTGGAAGTTGACTCTACAGCATTAATCTTGTAGATCTGAAACCACTTTCCTGCACATGACAGAATATTTTGGTATTATTTCAAAACTCAGCCCCTGCAGGTCCACAAAAGACCCATTTTGTTGCTGAGATGGAGTGTTTGCACTGTTTTAACATATATGACTACTTTTATATAGGGGCAATGTATGACAGTTTCTGGATGTATCAATTAACTAAAATATTTTTATCCAAAAAGGCAAACAGCAACAATAAAAACATTTTAATAACCAAAATTAAACTAACATAAGCTTTTTTTGGGACAAGTTGGCAATTATAGTAGTTGGGGTAAAGGGTCGATCTATTATTATAAATTAAATGTTAAGTTTATATTTTTAATATTAAAATGTTTATTTAGCACATTTTATGTATGAAGCACCGTTTAGGGACCATTTAAAACTGGAACCGCATCACAGTGATATTATACGTG